CCAGCCCACAGAGGCGGGTGGAAGGGTGTGAGGGGGATGTTGGGAGCATGCATGGAAGTATGGGGAAGGATGCCCTGAGCCAGGGTGTGTGGGTCTGCAAAGCCAGCCTGCCCAAGTGGTGGTGGGGCCCCGCTGGGCCAGGGCCTTGGGGTCCTGAAATGCAGCCTCGTCTGGGAGGCCTTCCTCAGCAGGCAGCATGGCGGGAATGCTGTTCCAGCCAGCCTGGAGTAGAAAGATATGCCTTTGTCAAACCCACCCTTGGGAGTGGTGGTAGTTACGCAACTCTGTAAATCACTGAATTGTACACTTAAAAATGGATGAATTTGTAGTATGTAAACTATACCTCAATAAAGCTGGTTAAAAAATCCTGCCCTTGGCCTCAAGACCCCCTGTCCAGTTGAGACCCTGCCAACCTCATAGCCACACCTCATTTTTTAGGAACTCTAAGGCTTGTATTCACTTTGGTAACCTCTCCTTATCCTTAACTCTTAGCCTAGCTGTCTCTTCTTCCAGGAAGGCCCCTGATGCCCTGCTAGGCCCCCTTCAGCCCTCGTTTCACAGTGGTTCATGTGCCCATTGGCCCAGCTCCCATGCACTCCTGGAGGGCGATAACAGGGCCTGTGTCCTCTACTGTCTCCCCAGTACCATGAGGCATGGGACTGCTGTTGTGGTAGGTGATGGAGAGGGTGCAGCCAAACTTCTAAGATGTCTTGCTGTGGGCCACCTGTGTACATGTGTATGTGCAGATAGCACCATCCCATCCCAGGATGTCCTCTCCTCCCCTATGCTGTCTGGCCTGAAGGCTTCGGGATGGAGCCATGCTGGGAGTGAAGCAAGGCTCTTCTGGGGCTGAGGGTGCAGTGAGGACACTGCCACCACCTCTAGTGACCTCATCACCATCTGGCATTATGATGTAACTGGCCCAGCATTCCAGGTTCCTGCATGGGCATCTCTAAGCCCCCCTCGTGGGGGCATTCCCCTGGGGTCTGTGACAGCTCACTCCCGACCACAGAGAGGTGGCAGGCACGGTAACAACCCTGGGGGTTGGGGGCAGCCTCAGGGATAGCTGGATCACCTTGCTCTGGGCCACTCTGTCAATTGCCCAGTAGAACAAAGGTGATCGCGGAGCAGGGTGACTAACACTTGAGCTCTGGGTTCATATTCTACCACTGCTGAGCACCAGCTGTTTAACCTTGGGCTGACACCAGCTTGAACCTCTGTGAGCCTCAGTTTTCTCATTTCTGAAATTGGTTAATACATAGTTCCTATCTCCCTGAGTTCTGGGGAGGAGTCCAGGAGATAAGACATGGAAAGTATGAGAGCACAGGGCATGAGGGGACACAGTAGGTGCTCAATAAATGCTAGTTGCTAGGATTGGTTACTTAAGGGAACCTAATTGTCCACCTTGGTGGTGCGGGCTGGCTAGAACGGGCAGGGTCTGTGCCTTCAGGGGCTGGCTGACCAGGGCCTTAGGGTAGAGGCAGAGAGTGGCCCCACTGCCAGGAAGGTGGCCCCACCTCTGACTCTCTCTGTCTTCCCAGCTCAGCCGGTGAGCTTTAAACTACAGGAGGCATTGGGTGCCACAGCCATGCCAAGGCCAGGAACCCACTGCCACCCAGCCCTCCCCCGCATCACCTCTCCCCAGGCCTTGGGCTGGACACGATGGGTCTGATCTGATCCCCCCAACTTGTCCCTTCTCTGCCCTCCCCCTCGCCTCCCTCTTCTGTGGACCTGTCCAACTGCCTTCTCTTGGTCCCCATGATCATGGGTCTGAGACTTCCTCCTCGGGGCTGTTTCCATGTTTCTCAGACCCACAAGTCCCCAAGCCTGGGCAGTGCCTGGGTCGCTGGGTCTCTCTGAGCTCGATCGCCCCAGTCTCTAACCTTGACCCTTTGCCCCCTCCTCTCCAGATCCCTTTTTCTCTGACCCACCCGTTGAATTCTCTGTCTCACAATTCTCTAACCCCCAACCTGCCTCTGTTCTTCTGCCCCCATATCCCCTCTGATCCCCCCGCCTCGGCCCCCAGGGCTCTATCCCCACCCGTCAGCCCCTGGTCCCAGCTCCCGGCCGGCCCGGCTCCTACATGGACAAAGGGGTCCTTTGTGGGCTGACCGCGGCTGGCGGGGCGGCGGGGCGCTGGCTCCGCATTGCTGATGAAACGGAGCCCTTTGTTGTCCCTCCTCAGGCGCAGTATTTCTTTTTGGGGGCTGGATGCGTTCCTGGCAGGGCCGATGATGGATGCACCCGCTGCCGCCCGCCTGCCCGCCAGTTTTCCCTCCCGCTCATTCTCGCTCCGCTTCAACGCAGCCCAGCTCCTCCCCTGCTGCCTGGGCACTGCCAGGCCCTTCCTGGCCTGGAAGGGGATTACCGTGTGCCCTGCAGTAGAATGGGGACCTGCAAGAATGTCCCCTCTATGTCCTCTGCTCTGTGAATGGGGCCTTTGGTCAGGGGTCCACTGGGACTGGGGCATCAGCTTTTCCTAAGATCTGAAAGAGAAGATGAACCAGGTACAGGGGCAGATTTGGAACAAGCTTGAGGACTAGATGTGATGTCTGCCCATTCTGAATTAGGGTACAGTTACCACAGTGGGCCATTCCCCCTTGTGTACCTCTCTCCCACCACCCCCACCACCTTCAGTTTCTGTGGCTGTCTGCACCTGTTCGGTGACATTTCATGTCTGGTCCCAAGCTCAGCATGTCCCAGGACCTGGGAGGCTGGGGGTAGGTGGTCCCTGAGGAAGAACAGAAAAGTGGAAGATCAGAGAAATTCCAAGGGAGGGACAGAGATGAACAGAACATGAGGTCTGGTCCCCACCAAGAGAGACTCAGGATGGAAACAAAAGCAGAGAGACAGCCAGAGCATCAGCCCCGAATGCAGGCAGGAACACAGGCAGGCCGGCTGTGTCGGAGGGAGCTGACTTCTAATTGACCTGCCCGCCCTGCATGCAGAGCCAGATCCTGGAGCTGGGAGGAGGGAGGGAGGGAGGGAGCGAGCAGAGCAAGAGCAGCGTTAATGCAGCTATCGATTTCTGCCACCAGCCAGCAGGCCGCAGAGGCGGGGGACGCACACAGGGGCTGGGGCACACACCGCTCCTTTCCCTACCTCCCAGCCCACAGACACCTGCCTTCTGTCTTCTGCCCTCACCCTGTGTCTATGGCTGCTGGGGCTGTGGTCCAGGGCAGGGTAGTTGAGCTCGGATGGATAGGAGCTGGGTGAGATGACTTGGTGATTTCTGGTTCTGGTCTCACTAGCCACAGTTCCCAATACTAGCCAGGGTCACTGATGCCTGGTGGGGTCATCAATCTCTGAGGAGAGGGACTGAAAAGCCAGCCTGGGCTTGGCTCTCAGGAGGTGGGACAGAGCACAGCTATCCTTGAGCATACATGGTCCCTTTTCTCTTATTACAACTCTGGCCTCTGACACCCCTAGTCCAGCTAGGATAATTCTGCCAGCCACTCCTGGGTCAGTCCTGTTACCCAGCTCTTCCTTACCACTCTTGGTGGGCTGCTGCCCACTGTGAGGGCCTGTTGATGCCTGACAATTGCCTCACACTGGACACAGCTTTTCGCCTTCCTACACTTGCTCTTCTTTGTGACCACTCCTTAGCAATCCTGGGGCAGGGGCCCCTGTCTGCTCGGGGCTTCAGTTTCCCCCTCTGTAAATACAGAGGGTTGGACTAGATGATCTCCTGGGAGGATAGGCTGAGTCCTGTGACTGGGGAGTGGTGGGGTTGCCTGGGGACAAAGATCCAGTGTGTGCCGCCCTCAGACCCAGGGCGGGACAGGGCCACCAGATGTGCGCCTCCCCCTTAAGCTACCAGCTGCTCCAGGGCTGGGCCCTGTCCTCCCACCAAGGACAGGGGGTGCTGAGCCACAGCAGGCAGATAGGGAAGGGATGCTAGAGAGCCAGGACTGATGAGGAAACTGCTACCCCATCTCATCTGGGCCAGTTCCTTCCAGCCAAGGAGGCTGGCTGCTCAAATGCCTTGGCCTTGAGGCCTGAGTGGAGCAGGCCCTGTCCTGGAAATGGGCACCTCAGAAATGTGGAGGTGGCCAAAGGACAGGACCCTGCTTGGCTCCATTCCCGCAAGGGTCACACCTACTCTCTCAGTCCCAGCCTGCCCCAGCCAGAAGCCCCTCCTGCCTACAGCCCAGCCCAGCTCTCTGGGTTCTCACTGGGACCTCCACCCAGGCCCTCTGCAGGCCTTGCAAAGCCTCTGCCCCCTCCCCGATCTGGGAGCCAGGCCAGAGCACAGCAGTGAGGCCTGAATAAAGACAAGAGAGGTCTGAGATGATAATGACTGGGAGCCGAGGAGGAAGTATGTGCTGGTGTATGCACAAGCGCGTCCTCCTACTCTTGCAGGGGAAGGCTTGTCCTCTGCCGGAGAGAGTAGATGCTCCTTGAAATAAGGGTTCTGCTCTCTATTGGCAAACTCTGAGTTAAATACAAAGTTTCTTTGCCTGCAGATCTTGTCAGACCCTTGAAGTAACTGATATATTAGAAATTTCCAAAGGAGGATCCAGGGGCAGCTTCCCAGACTTACACCTTCAAGTACTCCTCTCCTTAGGTGGGTCAGCAGAAGGAAGATTAGGAAGTAGATGTGACTCTGTCACCCTCTCAGGTTAATAAGCATCTCCAGTTCTTTCCCACCCCAGCACAGAAAGGACTGCCTTCCTTCATCAGGTCTTCCTAGACCCTAGCAGGGCAGATCTGAGCTGAGCCTCCACTGTGCCGCTCAGTGACCATATGCCCATAGGCTGGTAATTCTCCTCCTATACCTCATTTTCCTCAATTATAAAATAGAGGATAAGCAGCCACTACTTCACAAGGTTCTTGTGAGTCTTAAGATAGCACAAATAAAAAACTCCTAACCAAGGTAGGCCTGGCACTTAATTAGACTTGTGGTTGTTACGACGGCAATACAGTTGGTGGTGGTGGTGGTGATATTAAAGGAGGTGGTGTTTACCGCTACACTGACCCTGTGTCCTATTGTCCCAACAGACTGAAGACACTTCCACGTGGACACCTGACCATGTGCTTGCCCTGAGCAGCGAGGTCCACCAGCCATCTCTATTGTGGGCAGCAGGGCCAGGTGCTCATCTGTGGACCCCCAGCAGTTGTCAGGCTCCTCCGGCAGTGGGGTCAGGGCTTCGGCCCCACCATGTCGAGCCTCGGCGGTGGCTCCCAGGACGCCGGCGGCAGTAGCAGCAGCAGCAGCAACTCCAGTGGCAGTGGTGGCAGTGGTCCAAAGGCAGGAACGGCAGACAAGAGTGCAGCGGTGGCCACTGCTGCACCAGCCTCGGTGGCAGATGATGCACCACCCCCTGAGCGTCGGAACAAGAGCGGTATCATCAGCGAACCCCTCAACAAGAGCCTACGCCGCTCCCGCCCACTCTCCCACTACTCTTCCTTTGGCGGCAGTGGTGGCAGTGGTGGTGGCAGCATGATGGGCGGGGAGTCTGCTGACAAGGCTGCTGCAGCTGCAGCCGCTGCCTCCCTGTTGGCCAATGGGCATGACCTGGCAGCGGTCATGGCGGTGGACAAAAGCAACCCTACCTCAAAGCACAAAAGCAGTGCTGTGGCCAGCCTGCTGAGCAAGGCTGAGCGGGCCACGGAGCTGGCAGCCGAGGGACAGCTGACGCTGCAGCAGTTTGCGCAGTCCACGGAGATGCTGAAGCGCGTGGTGCAGGAGCACCTACCGCTGATGAGTGAGGCGGGTGCTGGCCTGCCTGATATGGAGGCCGTGGCAGGTGCCGAAGCCCTCAATGGCCAGTCCGACTTCCCCTACCTGGGCGCTTTTCCCATCAACCCAGGCCTCTTCATCATGACCCCGGCAGGTGTGTTCCTGGCCGAGAGTGCGCTGCACATGGCTGGCCTGGCTGAGTACCCCATGCAGGGAGAGCTGGCCTCCGCCATCAGCTCAGGCAAGAAGAAGCGGAAACGCTGTGGCATGTGTGCGCCCTGCCGGCGGCGCATCAACTGCGAGCAGTGCAGCAGTTGTAGGAACCGAAAGACTGGCCATCAGATTTGCAAATTCAGAAAATGTGAGGAACTCAAAAAGAAGCCTTCCGCTGCTCTGGAGGTAACGGCGCCTTAGAGGGAGGTGTGTGGGCTCCTGCGTCTGTCTGGCAGTCCAAACCCACCCTGACCCCCGGCCCCACTTTCCTTCCTGGGCGAGTGTCTGGATGCCCAGCTAGTCCTAGGGGTCTAAGGGTCTGGCTTTGAGACACCACTTCACTGCCCCAAAAGTCAGAGCCACATCCTGAGATCCCTTCAGGCTGTAGTTTGCAAGGCAAGCATAAAATGCCAGGCCCTGGGATTCTGATGCCCCTCCAGGGCTTCTGGGTCAGGTATTGAGATTCCCATACAAGTCCTAAGTTTCTGACTCTCAGATGTGTCCTGAAGCATCCAGTTTATGACTTAAGATTGTGGGACTCTCCCCTGCCCCATTTGAGGGGTTCTGTCCCCTGGGCCCTGTGGCCCTGAGGGTAAGCCCTTCATTTTCTCCTCCAGAACCCAGCCTTCCCCCAAGGCCAGCCAAGGATAGAGCAGTTCAGTGCTGGTTGCCCTTCTCTGAGGCCTGGAAGTATCCTGGGTCTGAGCACCTAGTGGACAGACTTTTGGGGGCCTGGGGTTAGGGGGTGACCATGAGCCTGGGGTATAGGCAAGGGCCTGTTTACTTTGGGATTAGCTTAGAGAAGGCAGAGAGGTTCTCATGCTGCTTTCTCTCCGCCCTTGTGGCAAGGCCCATCGCTGTGCCCCCAGACGTGGCAACCTAGCTGGAGTGCCAGGCCTGGGTACAAAAGCATCTTTCAGCCTGCTGTCCCTGCCCGTCTCAGCCCCTCTACGAGTGGGCTTGACGCAATGTCCAGCATGGTTAGAAAACAATGGTGTCCCAGCCATGGCCTCCTGGCCACCCTCACCCCAGCCCCACATATGATATGTCTGCTCTCCTACGTGCACGCAAAGTCACCCACTTTGGTCCAGCGTAAACACACACACATGCACACACCTGGCCTATACACGTGCTCTTATTGTAGGCACAGCCACTTGATAAACACACCAAATATTTCTGCTGCTCTCCCTCAGCTCCGTACACACTATACAGTATAGCATAGCATGAGGCACACACCTTTATACATATCCCATGCACACGCTTACACACCCATTTGACAAAAACACACACACGGCCCCCAGATGCACCACAGCCACCTGGTGCTTGTTGCCTTTGTGCCGGGGGAAGGGGCTTCCTATCTGGAAGGAGGTTCCTGGGTACAGTGGCTCAGGAGGCCTGAGGGTGCTCTGGGCCCTCCAGTGGCCCAGCGATCAACGCTCCTTCTCTGGCCCTGCCAGGATGGCAGAACTCTGCGGGGTGGCTGCTCTTACTCCATGCCCATCCCTCACCACGAGGCCCTCCACGGGGGAACGTCTTTGCACCAAGCCCACCCGGACCCTGACTGAACTCTCTCCTTGTTTTTGTCTCCTGCCCCGCCAGAAGGTGATGCTTCCGACGGGAGCTGCCTTCCGGTGGTTTCAGTGACGGCGGCGGGAACCCAAAGCTGCCCTCTCCGTGCAATGTCACTGCTCGTGTGGTCTCCGGCAAGGGATTCGGGCGAAGACAAACGGATGCACCCATCTTTAGAACCAAAAATATTCTCTCACAGATTTCATTCCTGTTTTTATATATTTTTTTTCTGTTGTCGTTTTAACATCTCCACGTCCCTAGTATAAAAAGAAAAAGACAAGAAAAAAATCTAACTGCTTTTTCAGAAGAACAACAACAAAAAAAAGAGGTAAAGACGAATCTATAAAGTACGAGACTTCCTGGGCAAAGAATGGACAATCAGTTTCCTTCCTGTGTCGATGTCGATGTTGTCTGTGCAGGAGATGCAGTTTTTGTGTAGAGAATGTAAATTTTCTGTAACCTTTTGAAATCTAGTTACTAATAAGCACTACTGTAATTTAGCACAGTTTAACTCCACCCTCATTTAAACTTCCTTTGATTCTTTCCGACCATGAAATAGTGCATAGTTTGCCTGGAGAATCCACTCATGTTTATAAAGAGAATGTCGATGGCGCCGTGTAGAAGCCCCTCTGTGTCCATCCATGTGTGCAGAGCTGCCAGCGAGGTGCTCGCAGAGGGGAAGGGAGCCCCTCACCCCCATCCCCGGGCCCAGGCCAGCCGTGTTGCACCCACAGTCCCCAGACTGGGTGGGATCCCTCACCCCAGTGGTGATGATTCTGGAAAAATGAAAGCTCTGTTCGTTTATCCATTGAGATCTGGGAGCCCATGTCTCGATATTTCCAATCCTGGCTACTTCCCTTAGAGAAAATAAGTCCCTTTTTTTCTGGCTTTGCTGATGGCAACAGAAGAAAGGGCTTCCTTGCGTGGTCCCCTGCCGGTGGGGGTGGGTGCCCAGGGGGCCCCCGTGCGGCCTGGGCCCCCCGCCCATGGCCAGCTTCCTGCTGATGAACATGCTGTTTGTATTGTTTTAGGAAACCAGGCTGTTTTGTGAATAAAACGAATGCATGTTTGTGTCACGAAGCACCACTGGCTTCTTGCTCTCGGGTTTTAGGGGGCTGGCTTGGGGGCTGTTGTTGGGCAGGGGTTGTCTGGGACCATCTCGAGGGTGAAGAAGGATGGCCCAGGGACATTTAGATCTCTTGGGAAGAGAGGCCTTCTGAATCCAGAAGGGAGAGCAGCAGCAGCCTGCCTGACAGACAGGATGCAAATGCTCATAATCTGGAAGTGGCTGGTACTAAGCCCCTTGCCTGCTTGTACCCCACACCTCTGAACCTGCACCTCTGGGGAGCTTCGCTCTCCTGTGGCTCTTTTTTATTTACCCAAATTCATCAGGGCCTGATCAGTGCAAAGCAACCTGTAGGACTGCGGAGGCCTGAGCTGCCTTTCTTCTTACATGGCAGTCATCTAGTACGCCCCTAACCACTGATGTGATTCCCCAGGGAGCAGTTTCAGCCCAGGTTTGTGGGGTCGTGGCTGTTCCCAGAGCACACACAGAGGACCCCCCCACCCCCAGCACACATACACATTCCTTTTCAGGCATGAGGGCTATTAGACTGAGTTCTGGGGGTGTCCCTGGCTTTAACTGCCCCCACTCCCAGAGGGTTTGTTGGTCCAAGGCTGTTTGGGAACTCAGAGGCCAAATGTATGGAGAAGTCACTACATAGCCACATGGTCTAGGCCAAAGCAGCCTGAACAGGAAGGGGTGGCAGTTGCCTGCCCCTCCCTACACATCACAGGCGGCCTGAAGGATGAGGCCTTCCGTCCACTGCGGGAGTGTTCTTCCCAACACCAGCTGCTTTGAGTCTGGCTGAGGTGGAGGCTAGACTTGTGGAAGGACTTTCTGACAATGTTGAAGCCTGGCTTCAGGTAGGTGAAAGAAGGGGCAGCTTCTGAAGCCGAGTGGGCGGTAAGGTGGGGGAGATGGGCTGTCTCTGTCATTGTTCCTGGGAGAAGAAAGTAGCCATGTTGGGGGGAGGGGCACTGACCCCCGACCTCTTCCCGGGTGTCACAAGCTCCCTTCCAGCACCAGGGGCTAAGCAGCCTGGCCTGGCACAGCGGGGGCAGGCGGGGGTGGTGGAAGGCAGCTTTCAACTCCATCTCTGCCTGAGAAAAATTCCCTTTCATGTGGCTGCCTGTGATCTCTCCAGGCAGCTCTGCCGAAGGGGGATGTCCAGCAGGGAGCCGGGGGAGGTGTTGCAGCTGGGGGGCACCCTCACCCCCAGCACAAGGCAAACTGCAGCACCTCCAGAACCTTGAGGGGGCAGGGAGGGTCCCCCTGAGGGGAGTGGGATGGGGAGCTTGGCCAGCAGGGGGCACCCAGCACGAAGCCCCTGCCTGCTCCTGCCTGGTTGCTGGCAGCACCCAGGCTGCAGATGGCCTCGGCCAGCTCTCACTGGCACGCCTACAGGTGTGGGGTGGATGGCTCTGGTGCCAGCCCCAAGAGGGGGGTGCTGTGACTCAGGCGGCCTGTACCTTTTAGTGTGCCAACCAACAGCCCAGCCATATCTCATGGACCCACTCCCCAACACAGAGAAGCCCAAAGCTTAAGCCCTTCACCTCCTCCAGCTTCAGCCTCTTACGCTCTGCTTTGTGGAAATGGTAGGTCAGCCCCTCTGTGTCAGGAGGTGGCCAGGGCTGGGGATAGCTGGGAAGCAGAACACATGATGAAGACTCAGTTACCTCATCTGGGAAATGGGACAATAATTGTCTCCCTAAACTTGCCTGAGGATGAAATGAGATCACACTTAGGAAGGGCCTGGCTCATAGTAAGCACTGTCAATGACAACTGGTGTTGCTATTTTAAAACTGTTCACCGAAAGCTCACCAAGATGTCTCCTACCTACGCCAGGGCTGTGCATCCTCCCTGAAGCCCTAGCACCCCCACCTCCCACCTCCAAAGAGTGGCCCGGCCGCTAGCCCTTCCCCTGCGTGGCCCCAGCCTGCACCAGCCTGTCTTTGGGTTTCTCTCTGGCTCACTGTCTGCAGCTCTGTCTTGATGGTCTTTGTTGGTCCCTGACTGTGTCTTTGTGTCCCTTCATCTTTCCACATCTCTGAGCCTCCATGGGTCTCTCTGGGCCTCTATCTCCCTGTGTCTCTGTTACAGATTCACCCCTGCTGCTCCCCCATCTGACAGAGAAGTACTTAGAGGCAGGATCCCCGTGGAGCTATGGGCCCAGTTCCCCTCCCACCCCCACCCCCCCGGGGTGCCCTCTGCTACAGTAGGGGGCCCGACCTCCTGGTGACCGGGAAGCCCTCACTCCAGCACCCTGTACCCCCACCTGGGTGATCTGGTACTCAGGGCCGGCTCTGGGGGTGGCAGGGTGGGGATTCAGGGGTGCCCTCTGCTACAGTAGGGGGCCCGACCTCCTGGTGACCGGGAAGCCCTCACTCCAGCACCCTATACCCCCACCTGGGTGATCTGGTACTCAGGGCCGGCTCTGGGGGTGGCAGGGTGGGGATTCAAGTGGCTGGGCTCACTCACTGGACTGGATACAAGTCCAGCCTTCACGCAGCCCCTGCATGGACTCCCTTGTGTGTATATGCGCGTGTGTGTGTGTGTATGTGAGAGAGAGAGAGAGAGAGAGCTGCTTCAAGGCCCTGACAACCATGTGAGGCCTTGTGCAGCAATGTGGCTATGTGTGATGTCGGGTGTGACATGAAAATGGGTTGTGACAGTGTGTGGGAGACAGTGATGTGAGACTTTGTGTGGCCATGAGTTGGTGTATGACATCAGTGGCCACACTGGGATGTTCTGTGACACTGCATATGTGATCTGTGACATTGTACAATCCTGTAACAGATCCAGTGTGATACTGGGTTGTACACTGAAAGTGTGACACTGGGTTGTACACTGAACGTGTGACACTGGGTGATTCTGCATGAGTGTATGACGTTGGATGTTGTACGGCACTGCATGACCCTGTGACAAAACTGGATAATTCTATGAGTGTGTGGCATTGTGTCTGTGTGGCCATCGTAGATATGGCCCTGTGAGTGTGTGATGTATCTGTGTGACCATGCTGTGACCCTGTGATGCTTCCTGGGTAACCCTGTATGTGGTCATGACACCACTGCCATGTTTTCTTTGCCTATAGCATTTCCTGGGGCTCTGGCGGCCCCTCTTACCCCAGCCTGGCCCTGAGGCCCAGTCTAGATGGGGAAGCTGGCATGGGGGCAGCAGGCTCTGTTCCCACGGCCGCTGCGGCCCTTCTCTCAGCCCCATCACCGCCGGCTTCAGCTCCACAGAATATCCTGGCAACCCCAGCCTCTTTGTTCATCTCGGCCGCCAAAGGCCTCTCCCCACCCCAGCCTGCCCAGCGCCTGCCAGGTGCCCCATCCCCCCCACAGCAGCCAGGCTTGGCCTGACCTAATCTCTAGCAGTCCTTTTCCTCCCACCCGGACTGGGGTCCCTGTCCTATGCCCTTGGCTGACTCAGACTTTAGACTGGGCTTTTTGCCCTTTGCTATGATTTTGCTGTGGTAATACTGTTTAGAAAGAAGGAAGCAGGACAGCTCCTGTGGCCGTACTGGGTGATTGTGGGCAAAAGCTGGGCTCTCGGTATGGGTACTTTCCCTTGGCCCAAGGCTAGTTGGAGGTTCAGTCTTCAGTCTGGGATAGTTTCAGCTAGTCGAATAAGTTTACTTCTTTGGCTCTAGGAAGTCATCAGGACAAGGATTATTACCCATTTTAGAAAAGGGAAAATAAAGCCCAGAGACAGTCTGTGACTTGCCAAAAGGTAAGAGGAAGATGGAAGATGGTAGCAATGCCCTGATTAGAACCCAGGTTCCTGGCTGCCTTGGGAGAAGGACCAGCTGCCTCCAAAAGAATGAAGAGGGGGTCTGGGAGTCTGGACACATGGGTCCCTCCTCATTTCTTGGTCACCCTGTGTCAAAGCCACATTGTGTGTGTGTGTGTCGTTGCTGGATGACCTTGGCCAAGTGCCCTTGCCTCTGTGTGTTCCAGGAAAGAAGAACAACATAGTCAGGGGTTGTGGGGTGAAGTGCTTGACAGGGTACTCTGCAGAGCAACAAGGTCACCTCACAGTCAGTACCAAGGCTCAAAGCATCTCCAACAGGGACGTGAAGCTATTGGCCCAAGGGGCAGATTCTGGCTTGGGGCTCCAGCCTGCATTCCCAGGCTCAGCCCAGCTCTGAGCTGCCACAAAGAAGGAGATGGTGATGGCCGCATGGCTCGGCTGTAGTCAAGGCCGCTTGGATATGACCTGATTGTTGCACCAGCTCCCACCCCCTCCCAGGTGCCAGAAATGGATGGATGGAGGTCACTGCACAGCCCACCCCGGCCCCCGCACTGCCCACCCGCAGCCCTGGGCCAACAGGCCGTTGCTGACGACAGCCAGGGTTGGGGGAGGGACAGGCAGCCACCAGCACGGTACTAATCTCATACAGACCTTGGCCCAAACACCCTGCAAGCAGAGAATCGAGCACAGAGAGGCCTGGCTGTCCCCCAAGGTCGCACAGCCCTGCAGGGAGTCCTGTCCCCAGAGGCCTACATCTCCCTTGAGGGCTATTCCTGTCACATCAAGTGGAGGATGGCTGGGGAGGTTGGTGGGGTTATGGGAGGGTCCCCTGAGGCTGCCGGCCAGGCTGCCAGAGCGGACACTTTCATCTCTCTCCGCCTGTCGACCTGCCATCTCTCAGCGGCATTAAATTCCCCTCCTGCCAGAGAACAAGGGCTGCCTCAGATTCCAGGCAACAGGGCGTGAAGATGGGGTGGGGCTGGGGAGGTGAGCCGGGTCCTCCAGGGCTCCAGATCTGGGTGCAAAGCAGCTGGGTGGGTAAAGCTTGATCTGGGAGCTTAGGGGGTTGGCGCACCCAGCTTCCCGATGATCCATCAGATGCAGGGCCTTTTCCTGTTGTCATCTCCTTCCCCCTTCAGGTAGTAACTTCAAGATCCTTCTTGAACCCTGCAGTCTGGGTCAAGTGTCCCTGTGCCTCCCCCATCACAATGCTGATCACTCCGGGTGACATCGCCTGGCTTCTGGGCTGCGGTCTGCAGCTCGGT